CAGGGCTGAGTTGGAGGAGCAATGGGACTGGAAGAAATTGTAGATGTATAATGGGACAAAGGAAGGATTTGAAGGTCATAGTGGGGATAGTGGACGGAAAAGACTGATCTGAGGCATAAAGGGGATAACGTCGATTGTAGATGTAAGAAAATAATAAATATAGTACTTCAAAATATGATAGATTATTCACCTATGTACAAATTCCTCATATCAGTGTTATCATTCAAACAAGACAATAATAGGATATAATACATTTGAAAAAAGGTGACTGATGTGAACAAGGTAACCCTGTATTTATTGTAAAACCTCCTCCCTAATTAAGATGAATGTGATTGTGTGTTTGTTGTTATAACTGAGAGACAATCTTATTTTCAAGAAATATTTCATCTTTGAAGCTTGGTGCAGGTTTATACATGATTTTTAAAAAAACACTGGAAATGTAATAATACTGCCATGTAGGTCTTGCAATACACATTGTAATCTCAAATCTGACTACTGAGATGCAAATTTTTTTATTGTCTTAGTCTTAATACCATTGCATTAAAATCTTAAGATCATGCACATTCTGGAAAATTACTGCAATCAGTCTTAATTTTGAAAGCTGTTTACTACCGCTGTTTTTGCTGCGTGTATGTAACGATCATGACTATTTGAAGCCAGCAAAGAGAAAGAGTTGTCTCTCTGAATAGCTCTGCCTGTATAACTATCTTAGCCTCAGACCAACATTAAATCGGAAGACTGGCATTCCAAGTAGCAAAATGGACGATGCATGATAATAATGGAGACATCCCATTAGAGGCTGACATCATTAAAGTCCCTGAAAGGACTGTTGGCCTGAATTTCAGCTCTCAAGAGACTGAGGTGAAAAACAATTGTGGAATTGTGCTGTGAACTGCAAATGGATTTAGAATCTACAGTCTTTGATAACCTCTGAAACATCTATTTTCCATTCCATGAAAAATTGAACTCTGGTCCTGTGCAAATCGGCTGCCACGTTTGTCTAGAAAATACACTGTCACTGAACTTTACAGAAAGTTTTTGAAGCTCTCCGAGGGTCCTCAACATTATTGGCATTACATCAAACGTAAGGATTATTTACCTTTCTGGCTTTTCCAAAAGATTTAGTTGGGATCAGTCTGCCATCTATAGATGTATATTGGAGATCACAGCCTTATTCAAGAGAGCTGGCAAACATTTGCTTCTCATTGAATTGACTGTGGCAGAAACACATTTCCAGGAATTCCAGGTGTTCATTCAATTTCCTGGGCAAGTGAAGCTCCTTAAATTTGCAAATACATTGGATTTTAATCTTCAAAACTGACAGTAGCAGCTATCTGTACTGTTCCCATTGCTGACTATTTCCATGTCTCTATGAAATGGAACCTATTGGTATAGTAGTCTTCAAAATAACCTCAAACCAACAGGTGAAAGCAACAACAACTTGCTTTATCACATCAATATCACGTCCTACACTAAGGATTGCATGCTTGTTCTAATAATCCTACTAATTTTGTGTTGGTGCGCACGCTGTTATTTCCAGGCCCCATACTGACCCGGATCAAACTCCGTACCCGCATGCCACCAGTTCTGGTCAGGCTCCACTGGCTCCCCATCATCGAACGGATCGACTTCAAGATCCTCACACTTGTGCTCAAATCCATTCACTCCCTGGCCCCTCCCTACTCTCCGACCTCCTCACTCCACAATGCACCACCCGACGCCTCTGCTCGACTGGCACCGGCCTCCTGCTCGTCCCTCGCACCCTCCGCCCCACCATCGGAGGTTGTGCTTTCAGCCACTACGCCCCAAAGCTCTGGAACATTCTCCCTCAATCTCTGCATTGCCCCCTCTCTCCCCTCGTTCAAGTCCCGCCTGAAAACTCTTCGACTGTGCTTAGTCACCTCCACCCCACCCTCAGCTCAGAGTCAGGCTCCCCACTGTTAAGTGTTCTGAGACGCTACCCTGCGTGGAGGGCGCTATATAAGTGCAAGTTGTTGTTGTTGTTATTTCTTAGCTGGGGTCCCAGGGTTTGGGTTGTTCTTCATCTCTTGGCTTGGAGATGTTGAGGTTTTCCTTCGTCACAATATACTGAGAGCTTCAAACTCCTACAAATGCAGTCATTTTACAGAAACTTGGTGATGCGCTTTCAGCATTTCAACATGTTAAGGCACTGGGTCAAATGCAAGGATTATTATTTATTAGCTTCTATTCCTTCCGTGAGTTATATTGTAATTTTTGCCCAGCTGTTCATTGTGCCTTGTTTGGTTTAGAGATAAAATACTACTACACAGTAAATATATTGTCACAGATTCATAGCTAAACCTTCAAACAAATTAGCACATGGTTCATAGAATGTGCAAACAATTCATATTTATTTACATTAGCCAAATAAAATCCTATTTTGTCTTTATTTAAAGTTAACTGTAAGCATAAAGTTCAAGCAATTCAGCTGTCAGCAGGGATCATAACAAGTTTCCTTAAAGCTGACATTTTTTACTCGCAACTTTATTTTCCGTACCCAAAATGCAACCACAGTTGCATCAAAACAATGTCCAAAATACAAAGAATCAGACCATACCTAGCAATCACAGGTCATAGAAATTTGAAAACTAATAGAACCAATTATTATAAGCAAAGTGGAAGATCACCTGTATGGAAACAGGTAAGCTTCTGGAGCTTTACAACTTACCTGACCAATCTCTTGGGCTTTACTGAGAAGGTGACATTTCCCATTTGACACCCGAAAGCCATGATGTAATGTTCCAGGATTACAAAAAGCCTTTGACAAAGTACCACCTGAAAGAATTCATCATAAACTGGTGTAATGACTCAGTCCACAATGCTGGCGTATTAAGTAATTCCTTTATTCTCAGCTCATAACCATACAACACGGAGGCGCTGGCAAGAGCCAACCAGGAGGGCTGACATTCAGCTGTAGAAAATTGGCTCTGATACAGGACTTGCTGTCTGTCTGACAGACAGTCTGTCAGGACATCAGTTGTCCTGGAATCGAGGGTGGAGACAGAGAGATAGAATTGCATATCATCCGTGTACATGTGGAAGTTGAACCCATGTCTGCAGATGATGTCACCAACATGTAAAGGTTGAAGAGGAAGAGACTGAGGACAGAGCCCTCAGGAACACCGCATGAGACTGTGCGGGGGCTGGAAGAGAAACCGTTGGTGGAGACAAATTGGAGATGGCGTAAGAGATAAGACCTGAACCATTCAAGGACAGTCGGACAGCATGTACACCATCCTCCAGCCCACAGCTGGACAATCATCCCTACCCATTGAGCGATGGTTGCATCAGTTGGAAGTGCAGAGCTTGAGTAGCATCTGCTTACCTCTCTGCATACAAATCAAAGTAGATACTAAATCCTGGATCTACAAATGCATTCCCAAAGTCAGACTTGTAGCTCCTTCCACCAATCCTCATTCCAAGTATCAGCTTTCTCATCAGGTATTTGACAGATATCTGCTTTCAATGTGATAATAGGACAGGACATGTCCAGGACAGTTGGAGGTCCAATTTAAAATAGTTCTCATCACCAACTGTTTAATCCAGGTTTTCATGTGACCATCCTGGGTGTTGGCAGATGTGACACCAACTCATACGCTGCACAACCAAGAGGCTCAGAGAAACCATTCATTTATTCTTGGTTAGGATAACATGAAAAATAGCAACTCTTCAGAGTAAGCTTAGAATATAAGATTTTATTACAGGTGACATATCGTTAAGGATTAAAATATATATATTCAGACTCTTACTACAGTGTTTTTGGTTTAATTTTGCAGCTGGAGAGTGAATTGAAACATCATACTGGCATCAATATTTTCACACCAAGGAAAATATTTAGAGATTTTGTACATGTCGACACACATTTTTTACAGACAGTGTGGTTATATTGTTTTCCAATGCTCTTATACAGTGTTGTTATGAAGCAAAGGTAAACAAATGCATCAATAGATAAGCAATTCCTCAAAAAAATAAGCAGTTCTTAAAACCTGTATGCATCTTAAGTCGTAGGAAGTAAGGCACAACATTATAAAAATAAACTCCAAGAGTGTAACATATTTTACATTACAATTTCTTTACTATTTCTGTAAATAAAATAACTTCTTCCCCTATGCTACTGCCGTTACAAAGATTTGAAAATTCTTAAGAGTTCTTTCAGTTAGTACTCAAACTTCCATAAAACAGGACTTTAAAATGCACGCAACCAATTTCGCCTGAATTTTTTTTCAATCAGTCTCTCAAATAGCACACGTGCGCACACATACACAGACACAAAAAACAAATCAATCATACTCCTCTGTTGATCCCATATTTATCAATACAAGGTGATGCCGATGGCTGACAGTTCAGAATCAAATGTAGATCTGTAAATTTAATGTGCAAATTTCTGCATGACAACTGTAGTCAACAACAACAACAAATTTCACTTGTATAGCGCCCTTCAAGTCAGAAAGATGTCCCAGGGCATTGGACAATCAGGGGTTTTGGACCCGAGCTGGAAGTTAGCGTCAGAAGGGCTGGAGGGCAGGTGGTGTAGTGTGGGGGTGGGAGGGTGGTCGAAGGCACGGTCGAAGAGGAAGGTCTTCAGACAGGACTTGAAGGAGGCAAGAGAGGGGGTGAGGCAGAGGGATTGTGGGATAGAGTTCCAGAGTGTGGGGGCAGACATGCTGAATGGCCCACTGCCAATGGTGGAGCAGGAAGTGTGGGGGACCTGAAGCAGGCCGATGTCTGCCGAGTGGAGGGAGAGGACAGGCTGATATGGGGTTATGGGTTGGAGAGGTAGGGGGGAGCAAGACCATGGAGGAACTTGACGGTGAGAACAAGGGTGCAGGCTTTAAATGGGACACAACCAAATCTTGTTGAAAGCACATTAATATGCTTAGAAAATGTTATGTACAGTAAACCACTACCTAATAGGAGTTAGCTGGTTCACTAAACTAGACCGGGCGTGTCTTTATTCAGGCTCTTCTGTACTCTACTTATTTTCAAGTCAAAGGGATGAGGTTTCTGAGATGTGAGTACTATACCATTTGGGATGGAAGCATTAGACTTATCACTCATATTTAAACTTTAGCGATCGTCATCATTGTCACCGTGTAATTAGTCTAGTCATTCTGTAGTTCTATGGGACTGCGTACCCTAGTATCTCTCTACTTACACACTCATTCCTCTTCCTGTCGCCTCCCCCCACCCCCCCACACACACAACACAAATAAAGCCCTTTCCAGCACAATCTTTGCATGTTAACAAACAGCTGAGAGGGATTGGGGAAGATATGAAGAAATGATACAGAGTAAATAAAAGTCCAAGTGACTTGAGAATGTAGTTCTCAATCCAGGACTCCTGCTGAAACTGCCAGACTGGAAACCCATGGGTAAGTTCACATTCTTCATAGTCTTTAAAAAGTCTATTTTGGAACTGCTTTTTACTTTGATGTGCATCCAAATAATGAGTATTAATTTCAAAAGGTAAACATTTTATTGTTAATACAGCAGCTATCAGTTCACAAGAACTGGTGTGTAATCCCAGAAACAGACTTTTAAAAGAAAAGATTTCCTCTGAAGTGCATTCTTTGTATTGGTGAACAAGTGTCAAGAGTTAACAGATGAAGAAGAATGTGCAACCACCCAAATTCCACAGCTGGATCAGGAAAAACATTTAAATTAATGTTATTTTAAATATGGAATGATCATCTAGCAATGAAATGTTTTAAATAAAAGTAAATTAAACATCAGTAGTTTTTAAAGGGACTGCATTCCCATAATCAAGCAAGACATAAAAAAAAGTCCCGTGCACAATGATGTCAACAAATGTACTATGTTTTAGGAAATTGATCATCATTCCAAAATAGGAAAATTCAAAATAAGCAACAGATTTTAGTTCCTTATATAATTTTACACAAAGCTTTACACCACATTGTCAATTGATAGGAACTACTATTAATACAGATTGCTCCCGTGAGGCACACAGTCATTTACAAACATTGGGAACAAATTAATTATTTTACAAAACAAAAATGTAATATATGGACAAGAAACTCTAAGATGGAAATTTTCCTGGATCCTCATTTGATTTGTCCTGATGGTTGAAGCAACCAGTTTTTTTTTCATTTTTTTTGCATTTATTTTAAGCCAACTGTACTCAAGATTTCTCAAGCAGGACTTCCATAATTATAACACAAGAAGGAAAATAAGTAAAAAAGGAAAAAAATAGTTATGTTAATTTACTGCAGTTGTGTCATCCTTATCTTGTGGTTATTGATCATGTTTTTCCACACTCTTTCAGAGTAGGCAACCTTTGGTACGTGACGTGCCTGCTCGATTTCTGGTCCACTGAAGATCACAATATTAAAACACCAGGCCATCCTACTGAAGGATATGTTCAGCTGCTTCCTTGATTATTGATGCTGCCTTCTCCAACTCTTCTTCCGTGAGTTCCACCGTGACCACCACCCGCACACTATAAGGCATTAAAAACAACATATTTCTAGCTATCCAAAATATCACAATGGGCAGATTAATTACAGTACATGGGGACACAATTGGAAACAAAACCTTAACAAAAGTAAACTAGCTTTTATTCCTCCCTCCCACCCCACCGAGAAAGCAACAGTTTAAACTTGATAATAGTTCTGCATAGATGGATAAAATGATAGTCATTAAACTCAGCCTTCACTCTTCATTCTGCATGCTACACATGGGTAACCTCTGGCAAAACAGTGCATGGCAAGGAATGTCAATCATCCTCAGTCAAGCTACAGACTAATAGGTAAACCCTGCTCGGCTAAAACTGCACATTTAATATATTAACGGTTGCCAGGCAATTGTGCATGCTTAAAATGTGCGGGTTACTCCAAATATATGTTCTGTATATAATGCCCCTTCATCAATCTCAAGACTGCAAAAATATACTAAATACCTCTTGAGAGCAAGTGAAATCTGGAATTTCTGGCTAAAAATGTAAGCAAACATTATTAGCCACCAATGAATATCTCAGGCTAAGGACAGGGTTATCTACAGTTACAGCTGCTACACACATGTTTCAGCCACATGTGGAATGGAGGGCACATCGGTTTGCTTTAGGAAATGTCTGAACGTATAAAATCTCTCAGAGGAAACATAACACTGCATAAGGTTTGAATGATAAACTCACGCAAAAGCCCTTCAGCTTTCAAACCTAAACCTGCTGTCTTGGAAGACAGTTCTGCTTTTGCCTTTGGTTTCTGTCAGGAGAGTTGATGAGCTCCATTCTTTAGTGGTTACATGTTGTCTCATTTAGTATGTAGATACAGCAGCAAAACCAGGTGCACTCTATCCTCGATTCAAAGTAAGTACAGATATTCAGGGACCAAAGAATGGAGCTCACCAATTATTCCTTGTCTCAAGCTCCAAAAGGCAAAACATTTGCTTCTGAATGCAGTTTATAAGCAGCTGGTTTATTTGACACGTGTTCACGAAGGAGGAGGTAATCTCTGGATGCCCATCCTATCATGATCAAACTCGGGGCTTCTCAGCTTTGAAAAGAAACATCTCAGAGGAGACCTTATAGACTGTACAAAGTATTAAATGGGATCACAAAGATCACGAAATTGGTCTGGATGAAGAAGCCCTTCAGTCCATCCAATCTCATGCATGTTCAGGTGGATGTTAAAGAGCCCATGGAACTATTCAAAAAATTGCCATATCTTGGCCAACAATCCTCCAAATAAAATTGGTCACTCACTTCCTGGCTGTTTGTTGGATACTGCTGTGTGAAAATTGGTTGCCCACAAATCCAGTCACTTTACTTCACAATAAAATTCTGTGAAGCGCTTAGGGATGCGCTATACCAAATGCAAAAAATATTAACTATTATCCTTCCAGAATAGTAACCCTACCATTCCCCCCACGACAGCATCACGCTACTTTTTATAATGAATCAAGTGTCCTGGCCTCATCCACCTCTCCTGGCAACCTGTTCATTGTTGATTACCCTCTGAGTAAAGAAACACTTCCAGGTATACAGAAAGCAAACCCAGAATAATACTTTCACATATGCCAAGGTAACAGAACAAGACTGTGCAGTCCATCAAGTGTGAACTGCTAATTTTCCACATGAAACACCTAACCTCATCCCATACTCCCCATAACTTTAAGATAATTGTTTCAAGCATATATCCAATTGCCTTTTAGAAGCATCTATCTAATTCACTTTTAAAATATTTTATGGACTTTGCTGCAGCAATATATACTTACCAAAACCAGCTGGAAATTATCTGTTTAATCAGATGGATTGTACAAAATAAAAACTAAATTCACCTTGGAGACGGCAAAAACTTTTCCTCCTTATCCAAGTAGCGAGCTTGAGTTAATGCAATCCCTCGGTTCTGGCACTATTCAACAAAGCACAAGAATCAAAAATTCAACAACAGTTAAACTGAAGTAGTTCTATTCCATTATATCCTAATTCCCGTCCACCCCCGCCACTCCAAACTCAGCTCGAGTGCAGCCCTTGACAGTGGTGGGGGTGGGGGGGGGGAGGGGGAGGGGGGGCTAGCTGAGCAAGCAGTAGAAAAGATTGCCAGACAATGCCTTCAATGGCAAGCTATATGTTTTTAGCTGGTTAGACTCCAGCAGTACCCCAACACACACTCAAGGTCCCCAAGCCTGTGCCTAATTCTATCTGGAATCGGATAAGCAGGATGCATCCCTCCAGGGAGAGAGTTCACATTGCATTCCATAAAAATATTTCGGAATTTCCACCTGAAGGTGGGATACGTGGAACTCAGTTTGGTTTGGATACTCTTAAGCACTGTGTTGGGTTCCGACATGTGTCAACACACCCAGCTTACCAAACAACTTACACATGTATACAAGCACTCTAGATGTAGAAGGTTATTTGAAGTCCCACAATTAACGTATTGTAATCAATAACCTGATAACTACCTCATTATCTATCACACAGATGAGTTAATAAATCCCAACTATTTTACTCAGATAGATGACCTTAGGCCACCACTGCTTATATGGCACTGATGGCAGATCAACTTTTTGTTGTTATTGTTTTTATTGTTTTAAAAAATTAGTAAAAATTAAAAGTGATAAAATTAATAAATGTATAGTGTAAGCTGCCAATAGCCTTGTTTAAGTAATGGCACGATTCACATATTGGTAAACTCAGATCACTCCCAGTGAATTTTTTGCATTTCCCATTGTTAATGACTGAGGACGAATATATATCCATCACTGTATTTACATGGTACTACTCTGAAGTACTCACATAATCTACAATTTCCTGCAATAGCTTCACATCATTCTCTCGTGATCCTCTGCTCCTTGTCAGCTGTAGATGAAAGGCTGGAGAAAATGATTCACCCACAACTTTCAGACCAGATATACTGTAACAATAAAATTCATACATTAGAAGTAATCCAGGATTATTCTGCTGTAAAATCACCTGAAATGTTGCTGAATATTTTAATATTAATACTGTTTACACTGATGGCACGGGACAGAACAGAACTTCTACAGTGCAGTTTTAGTTTGTTACATATTAAACCATAAACAATTGTTTTAATATGTGCAACTGGAAAACAGAGCAATGCTTACACATAGAAGAAGGTGTAATATGCAACAATTTCTAGCAGGATTCCTTAAACAATCACAATGGGAACTCAAAGTACATCACGCTGACCACGCTGAAAGCAGATGGTATATCCCCAAGTTGGCATTGCATAATTGAGATCTTTTATTTAGGAATTCTACATATTTAGATCCCAATATTGGTGGTTATAGATGTTGTTTCAGACAAGGAATGCAAGGAAAAGCACGTGGAAAGAAAATCTTAATTCAACATTTTTAATAACTGCAGAAAGCTGGCTTCCATATTATATTTGAATTAAAGAAGTTTCTGTGCTCTGGGACGCTACTCTGCGTGAGGGGCGCTATATATATGCAAAATGATGCTGTTGTTCCCAAAATCCTGCAAGACAATGGCCTTACAGCTAAGACCATAAAAAATGTAAGACCTCAGATTTTTTGTTTAAAAAAAGGCATTTCACAATATCACAAAAACTGAGCACTTACCCATGCAAAGCAAGATGGATTTGTTGACATTTTTGGCTCAATTTTCTGAAAATATCTGCAAAACATTGTAAATGTCGTATCATTTTATTGTATTTGACACTAAAAACGGCTAGATGCAGTGTATAAACAGATCCATTATCTGCCTTCCTATAACTTCTAGTAATTTTCTTGAATAATGCTTATTTTCGCTGGACAATTCGAAAGCAGAAATTCAAATTGGAAACAGACAAAAATGATGTAATAGTTTCCACTTTAAGTCAGTTTCTATACGAGTGTAAATAAGAAGTTTATATAAATTAAAAATACAATCCTCCTCCAGCTCTCCTGAAAGCTCAGTTGGTTTGCAGCCAATGTGAATCTGAGCCACACAGAACACGGTTTTGATCTCAGTCTGCGAGATGTTAAGATGATCTTAGGAAGGTTGGCAGGAGGAATGCTAAAATTGATTTCAGCAATAACTAGAATGCCTTAAAAAATGCTTGTGCTCTCATCCCTGATCGTTATTCATTAACCTAATGGAAAGTGCCGAGTGTGAATGTTGAAAGTAGACAGGGTCAGGTTCGGCTGCTTTCCAAAGTCAAACAAGCCTCGCTACACCCACTGTCTGCCCTCAAACATGAAGAAAGACTTAGCTTCTGAGGAAACCTGGTTCTCATGGAATTTACCGCAGCAGCAGTCAACATGAGCACAGTGGAAAAATGTTTGTGGGGAGAAATCCTTAGCATTTTTCCCCACATCAGTCACAATTGTGATGTAGCAGTCTTGGTTCCATGCCCAATGGCATGAAGTACCACTGGAATGAGTCATGCTCCCTTCCCATATGGAAGGAAGTGTCATGGCTCAGTTTGTTTCTTTTTTGCAGCAATGCACCACGTGGGACAACCCAGAATCAACCCTGTTCCACCAATCTATGGTGCATAGCACTGGTGTACCAGCACACAGGTATAACCGAAAAAATATACAACACAAATCCAGTCAGTCAGCATTTTCAATACCTGGATCATCTTCCATAATGTTGAGAGCCTCTATCGCAGCAGAAGCAAGCATTGGTGGTAAGGATGCTGAGAAACAGTAGCCTTGTCCCGAAAGTCGCTAAAATAATAAAAAAACTGCATTGTATCTTAGTAACCAAGCTTCACCCAAACAATCTTAATGTCCTCAAAGTAAAGCATGAGAAATAAATGAATTCCAGAAAAGTTAAAAAGCAGTCAATAACAATTTCAAGTATGAACCTTTTAATTATGGTAAAATGTCTAAATAAATATCCTCTTTTGGGAGGAATTAAATAGGGGTGTTCTCGAGCCTGAAGTGGCTTAATGAGATACATTTTGCAAAGACAGCAGTTATTCCAAGGCAGACCTGAACTTAAAACCATATGCTTAAACCTACAAATCAAAAAAGGGTGGATTGGATGCTCTACCCTTGGATAAGTATTGTGCACCATGTTATCAATTTTAAAATGTGAACAATTGCTGAACGATTGTGACAGTAAGCTTTATTCTATTATGCACCACGTGTAAATCATATGCAACACAGATGCATTATGTGCCATGTCTGAATGATTGTGTATGAAGAATGTCCTAAAATATGCAATTAATAACCAATCATTTTCAATAGTTAATTATATAATTTCATATTTGCACTCACAATTCCCTCTGTATATATGTGTTTACACATGGTGCATATTAGCACCAATGTCTGGGAAAGATTCATCTACTAGTACCATGCTTTTAGTACGTAGGGACGTAAAGCTTTTCATGTTAAGCTTGCAGGTTGAAAAAAACACATAAAAAGATTCAGCTGAGATTTGTTCGTTGTGCCAATTTGGAACAGAAGACTCATAGTCGGCGAATCCTTAGAATTTTGGCAAGCTATATCAGCGCACATTATGTGGATCAGAAAAAACAAGTTTTGTTCATAAATGTTTTAGAAACACATCAACCTTGCTGTTTAACATTAAACCCTAGAATTAACAGTGTAGATACATATGACTAATGTTTTAAATCTTAAAGGTTTTGAGCTACCAGGCACATCAAAGAATGTAAAGAATTTTAGTTGGAATAAGTTCCATCTTTTCACTATCATCTTGAAGACATGAAACATCATTCAATGCCCAAACTAAATTGGAAATGGATGTACCTGGTGATCAATAACAAATGATCTTCCACAGCAGAATCCTCCAATGGAAGCCAATGCGTTTTCCATATTTGCACTTATGAGGTCAATATCATCAATCTGTGTGATTTTGTCAAAGGAAGAGGAAAATCATTAGTCTTCTGAAATATATTTTGCCTTGAGGCCATTGGTATTACAGCAAGATATTGGGTTGAACATTCAAATAGATGAAAACAAAATAAACCTATTACATTGTAAAGAAACTTGCATTTTTATAGCATCTTAATAGGTCAAAACATCGTAAAGTACTTTTTGCAGTAATTGCTGTCAAGTGTAGTGACTGTTTTTGTTGACAAACATAGAAGCCATTTTGCACGACTCAGGTTCCTCCATACAATAAGGTAAATGTCCAATTAATCTGAAATATCAAACTGAATGTCCAAGTTTATTTGGGGAAGTATTGGCTAGGACAATGAAAGAATTCTTCTCCCTTCGAATTGTGCCATTGCATCTTTAACACCCACCTGAAGAACAGGAGATAGCACCAAGGTTTAACATTGGTCAAATCTGAAAGATAGCACCTGTGACAATGGCAATTATAGGACCTCCCCCTCCCACGAGTGACAACCTACACTATAAATATTCAAGTATTTAAAAAAGGACTGCAGTTTGCACAACACACAATGAAAACAAAAATATAAACTTACATTCACCCCAAAATGTTCTGTTACACCTCGTCCATGCTCTCCTAGAACTCCAAAGGACAAGCTTTCTTCTAGGAAAATCCGCACTTTGTATTTGTACTTTAGTTTTACCTAAACAGTAAGATACATGATATAGAACTGAAATATTTAAATTCTCAACTAGCTTCTGAACTGCTATGTTTTGTAAAACACCACATATTTCTTTTTTGTTATTCCGGTCACCATCTTTCTACCTAACATCCTTCTTTTCTTTGAATTAAAGGAACACAATTATCAATAATACCAATCCTTGTATTTGATATAACACCTTTCCCGTCAGGAGCCAGTCTTAACCATCTTCACAGGATTTACTGTGAAGTGCAACGACTGTATCTTGCGGACAAATACAGCAGCCAATTGATGCACAATAACATCCCCAAAACAGCCATGAAGTGAATGACCAATTTTATTTGAGGGATTGTTGGCCAGGACACTTGGAGATACTCCTTTCTCTTTTCAAATGTTACCATGAAATCTCTACCTTACGGGACACTGTATTAATATCTAATCTGAAGGGTGGAAAGTCGAACAATGCAGCTCTCCCCCAGCACTATGTTGAAATGTCAGCCTAGACTATGAGTTTAAAAGCCTAACATGAGAATTGAATCCCTAGCCTTTGGACTCAGAAGTAAAGTGCTGCTAAATAAACCAAAGACCTATTGTCTTTTTATTGTTTCACCACTGTGTTCACACCATTATTAATTCCTTACCAGTTCTGGAAGTGGACAAATAGATCCAGTGTTCATGTACAATCCTTCTACAAAGAGAAATCTTCGAGTCACACGTGCTTTGCGAGGATTCTTGAAAAGCAATTTAAGAAGGGATTTTTAGAACAGACTTGGCAAACGTGGTGAATGTTTGAGACAAAGGCATTTTTTGGCCAACAGGATTTAATACAACTCATAAAGCACCTTACCTTCTGGTCCTCAAATTCCTGCTCTTTTAGAAGCCTCTCCAAGTCATCCATATCATTGTGTTTAAAATACTTTATGTTACTGCGTGAAGCCTGCAAACCTTTCTGAATGGCAAAGCATGCTGCTTCATCTCTGCAAATCGAGTTAAAATATCTAAGTTAAACCGTAGCCCCTTGTAATGAATCGCCAGCACCCTTTTATAAAAAACAAAGTTAAATATGACTAGAGGTAAATTGGGTTGGTGCAATTAATGTACTCAAATGAGTGAGGAAGTAAAGTTAACAAGACCTTTGGATTAATGACTTATCCACTAATGCTAATTCAATTTTCTCACAGAAAATCAGGTTTGTTAACTAAACCAGACAGACTTGCTATTTCCATCAACTCATCAGGACTCTAAAAAATATTCCCCCACCCACCGAAAGTATTTTTTTTGTATTAAAGACATAATTACCACAAAAATTTCACCTGTAACATACACAAGTTTTCTCTCCCCACCTTCCAATAAGGGTTTGCCTACAAACAATTACGCACTTTGATAGCAGTCATCTGTGAAGTATTTTGAGACATTTCAATGTTTATTTCAAATACAACCCATTAGAAAAACACAAATTTTGGAAACAACCCACATCCCTACCATTTTGCTACAAGTTAAATCAATTTCTTACAAGTTATGTCATTTACATTTCCACCCATGCATTTATCAATATTAGATTTACATCTCACTACTCGTAAATTAAAGGTTGTGCCTTCAAGTCCCACTTCAGGAATTGGAATCACATAGTCTAAACTGACACTCCAACACAGTGCTGTGGGGGTTTTGCATTGTTGGAGGTGTAGTCCTTTAGATGAGACATTAAACCTAGGTCCCGTCTGCTGTTCAGGTGGACGTAAAAAAGATCCCATGGCACTATCTGATAAGAGAAGGGAGTTTCTCCTGGTGTCCTGGCCAACAAATCCCCCAACTAAAATTGGTAACTCATGACCTGGTGCAATAAAAAATCATGGCCGCACTTTTTCCTGTGGAACCTGCTATAAATGCCCCCCTCCGCTACAAACCCGCTATAAATGTAGTTTCTGACCCACGGGCTTCCCAACTGTTTACCTGACGTCATTGTGGGCGGGGTGGCTCCGGACACGCATGCACGGTACAAGCGGCAAATGGGCTTCAATCGGAGGCCCCGCTGTTGTGATTGTCTGTGTGTGTTTGTGAGTGAGTGCGTATGATTGTCTGTATGTATGTCTCTATATGCATTTGTAAGTGTGTGTGCCTCTCGCTCTGTTTGTGAGTGTCTATGTGAGTATGTCTGTGTCTCCCTCTCCTCTGTGTGTTTGTAGGTGTCTCCATGTGAGTGTCTATCTCTCTCTGAGAATGTGTCTCTCTCTGTCTCTGTGAATGTGTGTCCTCTGTGTCTCTTGAGTGTGTGTATCTCTCTGAGTGTGTGTCTGTGTGTGCATGTCTCTCTGGGTCTATGTGATGCTGGGCCAAGAGCTCCTGTAGCTTCACTGGTGTGTTTCCCCTCCAAACCCCCTAAAAAAAAGCCCACTCAGTTTCTGTTAAGGAAGCAATTCGTATTTTTTTTTCTTCCTGTTTAGTTTTTATCAATAAAGTGAAAAAATGTAGGTTGGCAGTAAAATGTACCTCAATAGCACCAATCAACTCCCAGGCATTTTCTGCCAAATATCCCAAACTCCCTTCCCCCAGCAATTTTCCATTGAATTTGCTAAATGTTTTCTGGGCAAATATTTCTGCACTTTTCTATTGGCCCAGCTCATGACTTTTGGGGGACATTGCTGTGCACAATTAGCTATTGCGTTTCGCCTGGAAAATACACGATCAAATACACTACACAGTATATCCTGTGAAGAACTTTGAGACGTCTTGATAAAGTGCTATATCAAATGCAAGGATTATTATTATTCGGGTTTACTTACATCTGCAAATAGCAGCCAAGATACCACTATTTCTACAGTGATTTGTTGCTCTAGCAAGGGAGATGGAAAAATAATTTTCCATGATTCCAGACAAAAATATTGGTCTAATCTTTGAATTGAATTATCAATGAAGGCATTTTGCACTGTGGTGAATGGAAAGTATGCAAGTCAGCAGCAGTTGGCCCATTTGAGAAAAGAATCAAATGAGTGGTAGGGCTATGGAACTAATAGGCTTTGCAGTTCATAAACTAAGCTCTTTGTGATCAACAAATCAGCAGTTTGTGACATGTATATACAATTCACAGAGCTTAGATATTGATTTATAAATAAAAATACACTCTATTTAACTATACAAATAAAAATAAACTCTACTTAACAACAACAAATTGCATTTGTATAGCGCCTTTCACACCGAGAAAACATCCCAAGGTGATGGACAGTTGAGGATTTGCAATGCGAGCTGAAGGTTGAATTCAAGACCATTTTTATGGAACTCAAATACTGTGTTTTAACAGGGCTTCCTCTATATTGCACTCTTTTTCTCCTTGAGCAAATTAGGAGAAAATATATTGCTCAAGCCCACCCCAATATACTTGGAATGTGACAAGGAAGAGACTTACACAAACACAAGGTCTCCTCTCTTCGAGTATGCTGGGATGGCACTGGCTATTGTAGCAAATCCATACGAATAAATAATGGCCTCCTCTGTTCTCATGAATTTGGCAATTCGATCCTCTAGTTCTAAGTGAACATCTGAGCAGAGGAATATTGTGTGTAAGCATGCAACATACTAGATGCATCATAAATTATAGCAAGGAATAATAAATAAGCATTAGTTAGTAGACTAAACATACTTTAGAACATTTTTGTGTAAGGAATTTCATTGTCTGTACCCAGGCGGTTTTATTCAGATTTGTTTTTCCTCACCACTAGTAAAGTAAAATCCTGGCTTACTAGACTCCAGGTATCTGGAATTCGACCCTTGCCAGGCTGGGCCCCAAATCAAAAAATATTTTAAATTTCCGCATGTAGGCTACTGCTGGCCAACTCTCCTAGTGTATGTCAATGATGTGCTGAGCAGCCCATGTGATCCCAGCTTCCGCCCTCACCCTCCTTTCTCCTGCATTCGGTATCCTATGGTAAGTGACTCCTTTTATTAGTACAGCTGTGGAAGTGTATATGCAGTCCTGGAAAATGTATTACTGTCATTTTCTGGAACTGCATATTCATTTTTTTGCATTACCAGCATTGGAATTACACTTAGCTGGAAATTTCAGCTCAATGGACTGGATCCCGCCTCCCGCTAGAGTCCACCCACCAGGGTTTATTTGTATTAACTATCCTCCTTGGTAAAGGGGGGGCGTGGTGGGACTCAAGTGAGTCTTCTTGGAGCTGAGCTGCTCAAGGTTATGTGCTTGATAACAGAATGTCACAATCAAATCAAGCCTCTGTGCTGGTCTCAGTAGTCTGGTTCGTGAACCAGGTAGGTCCGCAGTACTCCAGGGTACTGCTGATGACAAGCAAGCCTGCCTGACTCATCAACAGAGGGACAGATTGGGAGATGAGATTCTTCCCACTTGGCTCCCATTAACCCTGCAAGCTAAAGTCTTAATGATCAATGGGTAGCCCTAATGTTAGCTGGACAAACAGCATGAAGCTATTCGGATAGTACTCTCAATGGCAAGCTATGCAATTGTCTCTGGTTAAATTCCAGCAGGACTCCAACACACACTTTGGGATTTACAAGTCCCAGCTCTCGCCAAACTGGGCCTATACAGTTCAATGGTTAGAGCATTCGCCTCACAAGCGAGAGACCTGGGTACGATTCCCTGCAGGGCAAAGTGTGGGCAAGTTTCCTTACTCCACATGCCTCTGTTTACTTAACAGTAAGTGGAGCCTGGTTGTCGATTGACAGATTGCTTTTCCGGGAGTAATATTTTTTTTAATGATACTAATAAATTGATCACTCAATCCACGACTATTTGTGGGTGTTTGTGGGACACTGCTGTGTGCAATTGGCTGCCATGTTTCGCCCACAAAATGGACAGTCAATTCACTTCACAGTATATTCTATGAAGCACTTTGAGGCGTCTCAAAGACGTGATAAGACTGTCTAACAAATGCAAGGATTATTATTATTATTATCAATACACTCCAAAACTAGGTAAGCAGATTGTGTCCAGATACAGGGAATTTTCCAACATAGATATATGGACCTCTCAGTCTTGTCTGGATATTCTTCAGCATGGTAATGGATTTCCACGGGTCAAGCCATCCGACCCTCAAAAATTGAACCATTTCTTATTTCCTTATAAACAAACACAAAATTATAACTGAGCATTCATAAATCAGATCCGGACTTGTTCTGAATATGCCCAAACCTGTTCAGAACATAAGGTTTAAAGAGTTAAAGGCTGAAAATATATCATCTTAATTGCCAATACCTTAAAGAAATAGCCCCAATTTTTTTTAAAAATTAATTATTGAGAAATAAAAATAAATTTGAACTTACCAAATGTTCCATAAAACCCTCTGGGCCCGCATGTACCAACACCGTATTTTTTCAGTGAAGCCAAAGCCACATTCTGCGTATGAAAGAAAATGTGTGAATCTCAATTTAGAACCTTCCTTTTAAAGTAGAAACAATACAGAAGACGGTTGTGATCATAACATGGTCGCCTTGCACAGCTCCTCACCTTGAATCTGTTTGTTATGGTTATCACAATTGTAACATTGAATTTATTACAAAATGGCACGATCCATAATTTAAAATCTCAGTTTACCATTACGATAATCATGCAAACTATGTAAGACCGAAGCCTCAACGGCTATCATTTCAACATCTACTCAAAAGTATAATTACACAAAAACAGTTTCCAGAGTTTACAGTAAAGCAAATTACCACCTACTATACATCCATTTCTTAAATAGCCAAAACATCACACCTTTAAATAAATGAACACTCACCTTGACTTTTTCATTATCCAGCAAGCCAAGGAAATTAAAGGAGGCAAAGTTTATACATTCATTACCGTTAACCACGATCTTGTGGGTTGGGGGACTGAAAAACATTTAAATTAGAAAGAAAAACAGAATTAGTAGCAATTCACTAAAATGTTACGGAACAATTCAGATGCAAAAGGTATAATCTTTTGAATAATAAAGTGACAAGATGTTGCTTTGTAGGGCTTTAAAAAAACAATAATGGACATATAATCTGAAAAAATGATGATTAAAAAAATTATCATTTAGTGATAACAATTCCTACATTGAGGTCAGTTGTGGAGTCCACACCATTGCTCAGCAAGATCAGCAGAGTACGAAGGTACGAGAGAATTCTCGTCAACAAGTCTCAGTACCAGAGCACAAGGCACTGATCCTTCAGGAGAGCGTAGGAGTGTTTCGAAATAATAAGAATGATTAGTCATGTACTTCAATTGGAAATGTAGACGTTTGTTAGCCAATTCACAACAATTTAAAATGGCAGAAAACAAATGGCAAGACTTAAGAACAGGCTGTAGCTCTATCCCAAAAGGGTTTGTACACTTACCCTGTGACAACGTTATAGTTAAGGGCAGGGTGCTCCTTTGATACTGGAGGGACAAGTGGTTCTGGCTGCCATTCCTCAATAAGCTCCTCTTTCTCCTTATGAAGACAAGGTTACAAGGACTATAAGAAGATGCTCATTTGGCACAAAAAGGGTGAGAAGTATACTAATTACACTCAGTTACCTTCTCTGTTAAGTCAGAGCGCTCCTGGAGTTTGTAGGTTTTGGAGAACAGGAGTCTGATGATCCATAAAATGAGAATTCCTTCCAGAATCAGATGGTAAGCTGGGGCCTGAAACACACAATAAAAGCCTCTTATTCATTTGCATGCTCACAATGCTCTCCATGCTGTGTACACTACACCACAATACTGTATTCTGACTGGGATGAAAATATTCTGACCTATCAAAACATCGACTCCTTCAAAGGCTCATTGGTAAAGCGCTATCTGGTTTGGTACTCAGTCTTACAGACCAGAAAGGGCCAGCTGATCCCTCATCTGTGCTGAGTTTGCTGATCTCAGCCTGGATAGAACTACAATTGGGTCCCAGTGTGCCTTGGTTTCTGAGCAAAGCAAAACAAACCTGGCTTACTCCTTTAGATCATTCTTCTTAACTCAGTGTAAACTAGGTTCATGTCAAGTAAGAACAAGGTCAAACTCAGCGGTCATTGTTCTAATAGACTGACACTCACTATCAAGGCTCACATATGAGAATGGAGGTGCTATGAGGTGGCAGGCACCTGTGGAATTGTGTGCTCGCATAAACTTGTATGAGGAAGGAGTGGAAAAAATCTATAAAATGTATTGCTTTATAATAATAATAATACTCCTTGCATCGTCCAGCGCTTTGGGACATTCTCCTGATGTGAAAGGTGTTATACAACTATAATTTGTTGTTGCTGTTATTGCATTTGATCCAGTGCCTTATTACGTCGGAAGGATGTCTCAAAGTGTTTCATAGGAATTACTATGAAATGACTGTTTATTTGTAGGCAAACATGGCAGCACAACTGCACCCAGTAATGTCCCACAAATAGCCAATGAACAATTTTATTTGGGGATTGTTGGCCAGGACACGGGAAGAAACTCCCTTCTTTTTTCGAATAGTTCCATGGAATTTTTAACATCCACCTGAATAGGCAGACGGGACTTCAGTTTGACGTCTCATCCGAAGGCGGGATTTTATATTACCAAATAGACAATATGCATTAAACACAATACCTATAGTGCAACAGCAAAACCATCCAAAAAACATACAAACGTTCAAGAATTCAAATAAATTCACATAAGTTGCATAATAATGGAATTCCACATTTGACTAGGCCTTTTAAGTAATAGGTGATCTATTTATGCATGTATGGGATAATGGAGTGTGGAGCAGCACAAAATTTGCCCAACTGTGGAATCTGATTTCTTCTTGGTATGAAAACAAAACTTGTGAGGAGTGCTGTTATATTTGAAGCATAATTCACCATGCAGAGAAAAGTCCAGAGGCCTGGGTATTACAGTATGACAACTGCCTGCTCATTGGATTTCCCAACTTTCTCTCCACAAGCTGTGTCCTCTCCCATACCAGGCTCCGGGAACTTATCACGGCCGTTCTTGCCCGGCTTCACTGGCTCCCCATTCCTCAGAGAATCGAACACAAAACCCTCGTTCTTAACTTCAAGGCCCTCCATGGTCTTGCTCCCCCCTAACTCTGCAACCTCCTAACCACCTACCATCCTGCTCGCTCCCTCCACTCAGCGGGCTCCGGCCTGCTTCACGTCCCCCGCACGCTCCCCCCACTATTGAAGGGAGGGCCTTCAGCCACTCTGCCCCCAACCTCTGGAACTCCATTCCGCAGTCTCTCAACCTCGCCCCCTCCTTTGCCTCCTTCAAGATCCATCTCATGACCCTCCTCTTCAACCGTGCTTTCGATCACCCTGCTTCCCCCCCCCCTGCCCTCCACCCTCTCTGACCCCCAGCTCAGGTCCGAAACACTGACTGTCCAGCACCTTGGGATGTCCTCCCGACTTGAAAGGCACTATACAAATGTAATGTTGCTGTTGTTGTTCCTCGACCATGCCTTCGGCCACCCTCCCACCCCCACCCCTCCTGCCCTACTCCCCTTCTGACCACAACTCCCAGCTTGCATCCCCAACCCCTGATTGTCCAGTGCCCTGGGACATTTTTCTGGAGTGAAGGGCTCTGTACAAGTGTAATTTGTTGTTGTTGTTGTATTAATGGAATACACTTCTTTCTTTAAAAATCACCTATTGCTCAATGTATATAGAACCACTAGAAAAGTCAAGAGCTGTTTGGAAATTGGTGTCCCAATTGTTGGGACTTTATACCTCCCTTTAAAAATAACTCTTTCAACCATCCTACGTACAAGCAACTGGTTCTGTAGGCGGGGAATGGGATGACCAATGCTTACATTTCCCTGAACAAGATTGTCTTGTAAAGATATGATGTAAATAGGATTGCAATTGTTGACTATTTAAAATAAAATGTTGAATCCTTTTCCAGATCCATTTTGGACCGCTAGACATATTTATATATTTACCCTGCTCAGTGTCAGCCTGCTTTTACTCTCTGCTTTTCTGCTCACGTTGGAGTCTACTGCAACTACAGATCGTGTACAAAATTCCACATTCTAACCACTCTCTGCATAAACAAATTGTTTTCTAAATTGCCTGAGTCCACGTTGTCCAGTGCTTTCAATATTGAAGGCAACTCTACAAATATACATCAAGAATCCTTCAGCGATTATGCAATCTCCTGCATGTATGACGACACCTTTTAACTTGAATCATTGACTGCTTGACCAAGGAAAACCAGAATGCATCTGGAAGGGTTACAGTTGCTGAACAAAATAATATTTTAAGATTCTTAAACATGTAAGATCAAAAAGCATGAAACAAACAGCTCTAAATGCACAATAAGGAAATTCCACAAAAAACATTAAAACAGAGCACGAATTAATCAATAATCAGAAATGATGCAACTTCTCATGTTAAATGTAAAGCCACGTGCACAGAGCACAGTGTACAAAGTCTTTCACAACCACTTCTAGAACCTATTAATCAGACTTTTATGATTACATTCACTGTTCTAACATCGTAGTGCAAGATTTTTGAGGATGTAAAAAAAGGCTTATGGAATGTTAGCCTTCATGTAAAAGGGGATTGAAATACAAAAGCGAGGAAGTGATGCTTCTTCAGTTGTACAGAGCCCTGGAAGGATAACAATAATAATCCTTGCATTTAATATAGCGCCTTATCACATCTTTGAGATGTCTTAGAATGCTTCACAGAATATAGTGTAAAGGGAATTGACTGTATATTTTGTGGGCAAAACGAGGCAGCCAATTGCACACAGCAGTATCCCACAAACAGTCGCGGATTGAGTGACCAATTTATTTTTTTTGAAGGAATTATTAACCCCGGAAAAGTGATCCGCCAAACAACTAACAACCAGGCTCCTACTTACTGCTGGGTAAACAGAGGCATGTGGAGTAAGGAAACTTGCCCAACATTTTCCCCTGCCCGGGAATCGAACCCAAGTCTCTTGCTTGTGAGGTGAATACTCTAACCACTGAGTTACAGGATATATTGGCGTTGGAGGGGATACACGCAGATTCACCAGAATGATATCGGGGATGAAGAAATTAAATTATGAGGCTAAATCCCATTAACTTGGTTTGTATTCCCTGGAGTTCAGAAGTGTGAGGGGTGATCTAATCGAGGTGTTTAAAATTATAATACAGGGGCTCAGTAGGGAGATACAACAAAACTATTTTCTCTGGTGAGGGAATACAGAACAAGAGGGCATAATCTTAAAATTAGAAACTATAGGGTGGGTATTGTGGAAAGATGAAACCAAATGGGTTGCAGGGCTGTCTTCATCCTACTTCTCTTGCAATTTTGTGACTAGATCTGAATGACGGTGAATATTCAGTGCAACGCTATGGTCATAACAAGGAAGCAGCAGAAATACTTAAATGTGGTATTGCGATACTTGGTAAACAATTCTATTATTGAGCTGGTGGTCAAGACCACAAATGTTGTGATCCTTGTTGGTCAACTGGCGTTCTAGTTGTGTATATAGAATTTGAAGTACCAAGAAAGCAAAGAGGGTTAATCAAATCAAAATGTACAAAAGTATCCATAATTGGTGAAAATAAATTCACCATGAATATTATGGAATACGAAATGAATATTATGGAAAAAACATCTTATAAAGTACTAAAATGACGCCACTGTATAACCAAATTAATTATGTCTCTCCCCCGCCCCCCCCCCCCCCCCCCCACTAACAAAGCAAAAGCATTTCAAATTTAGGAAAAAACAAGTTTTCCACCCTTATTTTCATAGAGGCAGCAATTTGAACAGCACGTTTTACAAAAAAAATGAACCAGTTACCACAACATAAAATCAAAAGGACAACCAGAAGCTCCAGAAACAAGTTACAAATTTGGATGTCGCCTTTTGTTATAAATGGGCTGGTTCTATTTATTATAAAGGATCACACCCAAACCAGTAACTCAACTTTTTTTTGCTTTTCCAGATTCCTGAAATTATAATGCTGTGTATTTCCAGTGGTTTCTACTTTTATTTTGGATTTCCAACATTCATGCTTGTTTGTTATTTATAATAATCATCCTCGCATTTGATTTAGCACCTCATTATGCCAGGGGGACATCTCAACTCCCTCACAGTAAAACATAATGACCGTGTATTTTGTAGGCAAGCATGGCAGCCAATTGGGGCACACCAAATATCCCACATCAGCCATGAAGTGAATGACCAATTTTATTTACAACAACTTGCATTTATACAGCGCCTTTCACGCTGGGTAGTGTCCTGGAACGCTTCACGGGGAGGGGGGAGGTCACTGTAAACACGATCAGAAAGTCTTTAAGCGGCATATGAATGTAGGGAATGAGGAAACAAGGAGGAGGGATTGAGGGAGAGAGTGCCAGAGCGTAGTGGCTGAAGGCACGGCCACTGCTGGTGAAACGGAGGGCACAAGGGATAAAGGGGAGGCCGGATCCAGCCAAACAGATTGTAAGGTTGGAGGCCGGAGTCAGTCGAGCGGATATCTGAGGGATTGTTGACCAGGAAAAACTCTCATCTTTTCGAATAGTGCCACAGGAGATATTCAACATCCACCTCAATAGCACGACTGGACCTTGGTTCATCCGAAGGGCACCACCTCTTAAAATGCAGCATTCCTCCTGCACTGCCCTGGAGCATCAGCCTAGATTACAAATTCAAAAGTCCCGACATGGGGTCTGAACTCATATCTACCTGATTCAGTATCATAATATAATAAGAACATAAGAATTAGGAGCAGGAGTAGGCCATTCAGCCCTTTGTACCTGCTCCGCCATTCAATAAGATCATGGCTGATCTTCTCACCTAACTCTGATTACCTGCCCTATCCCCATATCCCCTAATCCCTCTATTTTTCAAGAATCTATCAGTTTCAGCCTTGATAATAATCCTTGCATTCGATATAGCGCTTTTCACGACTTCTCGACATCTCAAAGAGCTTTACAGAATATACTGTAAAGTGAATTGACTGTATATTTGTGGGCAAAATGCGGCAGCCAATTGCGCACAGGAGTAGACCCACAAACAGTCGTGGATTGAAGCGACCAATTTATTATTGTTTTTTTTCTTGAGGGATTATTAGGCTCTGTGTGGAGCAAGGAAACTTGCCCAAGGTTTCGTCCTGCCGGGCACTGAACCCAGGTCGCTCGCTTGAAAGGCGAGTGCTCTAACCACTGAGCTACAGGACTCCACATTGGCAGCTGTGTGTTTCAGGCAGTTTGCAATTAGCAGTGATGCCATTACTCTGAGCAACCTATTCCCAGAAAGGAAGCGAATTCATCAACCGGATAGACAGATAGATGAAACATTACTTTAGTGACCTGTCGCAATTTTATGCTAACGTATATAGAATATTTTAGATACATAGCAATCCTTGCATTTGATATCATGTTGTTGAGACACTTCACAAAGTGCTTCACAGGATTGACCGTGTGTTTTGTGGGCGAAACGTGATAGCCGGCAACGTCCCACAAACAGACATGGAGCGAGTGACCAATTTTATTTCGGTGACCTTTGGCCGGGACACCAGGAGCGAGTTTGAATCGGATCTTGAACACATCCAGGTGATCAGGCAGGCGGGACCTCGGTTACAACGTCTCATCGGAAGGACAGCGCCTCGGACGATGCAGCACACGCTCAGCGCCGCTTCGGAGCTTCAGCTGAGACCGTGAGAGTCCGGGAGTCCCGACGTGGGGCTCTCGGACCCTTCTGACCGAGAGGCAGAAAAGCGACCCCTGCGCCGCGCTGACAGCTCCACCGAGATCTTATGGGCATTGAGTGTGCCCGTGTGTGTTCAGCTATGCCGAGCTGCCCGGCCCCGCCCGGGGCTGTCATCACAACCACGTCACAGGTCCCGCCCCCCCCACCTCATACGTCACGCGCCCCACGGAAGCGCGCCCGCCATTGGCCGCCGGCGCCGTCAATCCACCACTCGGCCCTGTCACTTCCGGCAGCGGAGTGAGATTCCTCAAGCCGCCGCGGCTGGTTTTTAACGCCTCAAATCTTCAAGAACGTGCCGTCCCTCGGACTCCGGGCCGCTGTTTAGGCGGCTTTACATGCGCTCTATTTAATCGTTTTTTTCCCCTCCCTGCGCCCGGTCAGCTCTCGTTTCCTACCTCGTAAACGGCCTGCACCATCTCCACCAACACCCACTGTTGCCCCGACGCCATCTTGTTGCATGACCCGTCTGGTCACCAGCGACAAAAATGGTGTCACATGCCAGCCTCGCGCATGCGTAAATCGGCCCCGCCTCACCCGCTGCCAGGCTGGGAGGGCGACCGCCATCTTTGATACTGGCAGCCGGCGCTCGGCTCACGTCACGCACACACTTGGCCGCTGGGCAGAGAAGTTGGCATTGGCGTCAAATCAGTGCAGCAACAGAGGGAAGGAGGCAAACAAATTGCTAGTTTCGGAAACGATGGGACACCATTACTAATTTGATGTACGCGTTTAAAAATAATAAAGCCCGGCACTGTGTGTCGTTATTTCTTTTGTATCGAAAATGTAACGTCTTTAATAATTAATAACAATAATCCTTGCATTTGATGTAGCGCCTTATCGCGTCTTCGAGACACCTCAAAGCACTTCACGGAATATGCTGTAAAGTGAATTGACTGTATAATTTGTGGGCAGAATTCGGGGGCGAATTGTACACAGCAGTGTCACACAAACAGTTATGGATTGAGTGACCAATGTTTTTTATTATTTTGAACAGATTATTACCCCCATAGTAATATTACTAGATATAGTATTGACGTGGCTAGGATCACGTGTTACATTTGACACTTAATTGGTAAATAGTTGAACTTCATTCCATCTCCTTTTACTACAGAGTATTTGCAATCGTATTACAAAGAGAAGACCAGAGATTGAAGTGTACCGCTTTTACAATACCTACTTATGTCCAGTACTAAGCCTATCTCTGAGGTAGCTAATATTGAAATAATGCAGTTTTTCCTGGTTTCAGTTCTCCCAACAGCCAACACTTTTTTGAGTTAGATGCATGCTGGAGATCCAACATGATAACGAAATGTTAGAACTGGAGGGATAATACCTTTTGTTAACTCATCAGCATTAAATGAAGAAAAATACTATGCTGAAGGACCGCACAGATATGGGGCAAAGGGCATCTAGTTGTGCTCGTCTCTCTTCAAGGACAGCAAGGTCCTAATGCAGGTCAAGCTTGAGGCAAATAAGGCCTATGCAAATAGTCTTCTTTTTATGGATCCAAGCTCCTGGATTTACTTCTTCCAGTCCATTTGCAAACAACAGCAGCAAAATTACATTTGTATAGCGCCTTTCACATCAGGAGGACGACCCAAGGCTCTGGAAAATCAGTGTTTTGGATCTGAGCTGGGGGTCTGAATCGTGGAAGGTGAAACACTGACTGTCCAGCGCCTTGGGACTTCCTACTGACGTGAAAGGCGCTATACAAATGTAATGTTGTTGTTGTTGTTGAAGGAGGTAAAGCCCAGAATCAAGCTGTGAGGTGGATTTATGGCAAACGCCAACAGCAGCAACATCTTGCATTTATGTAACTCCCTCCACTTTTTGTGCAGCACTTTGAGACATTATCCTACATATAAATACAAGTTGCTGTTGGTTGTTGGTGTTTGTGCTGGCTTTTGGGACTCTGGAACCACAAAGTAGAAGAAGTTATAGTGCTGTTTTTCATTGCGCCACCTGATTTATTTATCTTCAGACAGTGTGCCTCCCAAAAGCACCATGTTACACAGTCTATAATAAAGTATTCACAGAGCTTATAAAGCAAATTCATTTACATTTTCAAAGGAGTTTTTGTTGGAGGATAACTTGTTATTAAATGGAAGTGCTGCCTCCACATTTTTTCAACATCTCAAAGTGCTTCACAGAATATTCTGTAACATGAATTGACTGTATATTTGTGGGTAAAACACGGCAGCCAATTGCACAAAGCAGTGTCCCACATACAGCCGTGGATTGAGTGACCAAATTTTTTTTTTGAGGAATTATTATCCCTGGAAAGCAATCCGCCAATTGACCAGCAACTGGGTTCCTATCTACTACTAAGTAAACATGTTCATATTGATTAAGGAAATTTGCCCAACATTTTGCCCTGCCCAGAATAAAACCCTGGTCTCTTGCTTGCGAGGCGAGTGCTCTAACCACTGAGCTACAGGACTCCAATAATGTATGATTATTAAAGGCTCTGGTTTCTTCTTTCTACTATTCCCCAAACCACAAATGCACAAAGGTGACTCCCATTAATCCTCCCAGTTCTAAGTTGGGGGCTCAACAGAGAACTTATGTAGAACTCTGGAGCCAAGCCCAGTAATTGTACGAAAAAGTTACTACAACATTAAGTTATTTATGTTTTTCTTTGATCCTTGGCACTAATTTGTGCCAGTAAAAAGACTGCACCTGCTATGCTTTCACAGGTAAGATATTACAACACATAGTCATTTTGCTGTCATTTTCATTCCAGTTTGCCAATCAGTATTTTTATCTGATTCATTCACTATATCAGCATTCATTCATTCTAACCCCTCTTTCATCTTTCCCCTAGTCTTGCTCTCCAACTGTTCCCTAACTCAGAATACAATCATTTGGACAGCATTGCATGGATTGTTTAGAAGAAAAATGAAATAGTCGTTGATGAAATTATTTTCCTGAATTATGTGAAATTCCCACTTTATATTATAGGTTACATTACACATTTTAAAAAACTGTAAAAAAAAGTTATGATTATCCTTTTGACATATTTATTTCTGTGACAGGCACTATACAAATTCATTGTGATGGCTAAGATTGTCAAATGCCTGTAGGTATAACTTGGAATTACTCCTGCATCCTATTCCAATATATAGACATCTCTCTCTCACTCAAGTGGTTATGTATATAATATCTATACATGTGTGACTGCCTGTTTTTTGTTACATTAATAGACTTTTTTTGTTTATAATTCATGATCATTAGCGGCTGAATGTGTTAGTATTCTAATAACCCACAGTTAGAAATAGCTCTCTCCCCGATGCTGGATTTGATCTTGACATTTTTATGTTGTATTTGGAAAGTGAAAAAATAAACAATTTTAAGAAAATGGAACTCAGAGTTTGGAGAAGAGATCAAAATTCTGACAGAAATTAATGCTTGAATTTTAATATATCAGTCTATCATTCCACTTTCTTCTTGCTCTCTAACTGTCTCCTAATTCTGAATGTATTCATTTGGACAACATTCTACAGATATTTCAGGAAAGGGAGAGGGGCATGTTGATGAAATAATCCTTCCTGGAGTATGTGAAATACTTACTTCATATTATAGTTTTTAGGCCAAAAGCACGATCAAAGGGGAAAGTCTTGAGATGAAATAAATAATAAAATAAATAAACCATTTATTTCAAACCAGCAATCTTAACACAGTAACTTAAGGAATGAGAAGAGACTATTTAGCCCAACAAGCCCATTCCCTTTACAGTCTGTGGGAAAACATTTTCTCATAACATTACACCAACTACTCTATCTCCCGAGAAAAGTTATAATTCCCTGAGTTTAGGAGATACTCTAAACCCCATAGTTAATTGAAAGTGACACAAAGACTTAGAATCCATGAAAAGGTAATATCCAATGTGCTTTGTGACATTACCAACATTACACTTGTGTGTCAGCGTGGCTCAGTTTGTAGGACTCTTGCCTCTGATTCAGAAGATTGTGGGTTCAAGCCTCATATTAGGACTTAGAATTCACAGTCGAGGCTAACTCTCCAATGCAGGGCTGGAGATGTGCTGCATTTTTGGATCGAATAACCTTTGGATGAGGCATTAAACCAAGGTCCTGTCTGCCTGGTCAGGTGGACATTAAAGATCCCACAAGACTATTTAAAAACAGAAGGGATTTCTCCTGGTATCCTGGCCAACAATCCGTAAATTAAAATTGGTCATTTCCTTCATGGCTGTTTGTGGGACATTGTTATATTCAAACTGGCTCCCATGTTTCGCCTACAAAATAATAATAATAATAATCCTTGCATTTGATATAGCGCTTTTCACATCTTCTAGACATCCCAAAGCGCTTCACAGAATATACTGTAAAGTGAATTGACTGTATATTTGTGGGCAAACGTGGCAGCTAATTGCGCACAGCAATGTCCCACAAACAGTCATGGATTGAAATTGACCAATGTATAATTGTTTTGTTTTTTTGGAGGGATTATTATTAGGCGTGTGGAGTAAGGAAACTTGCCCAAGGTTTCGCCCTCTGCCTGGAATTGAACTCAGGTCTCTCACTTGCAAAGCGAGTGCTCTAACCACTGAGCTACAGTTACTACACTTTACAATGAATCCTGTGAAGCATTTTGAGTCATCAATTTGACGTGAAAAGCACAATATCAAATGCAAAGATTATTATTATTATTATAATAAGTAGTTGGATAGATCACTGCTATCATGACTTGCTTAATATCGATGGTTATCAGCTAACGTGAAAGAGCAGAAAAGATAATGGGAAAGGCAGAAGCAGAATTACCAAATAACTTTTCTACAATGTAACTGAAAATTGTAACAAAAAGCAGAATTTAGCTGGAAAAGTAAATACGGTATGTTCAATGCATTTGTTGAATTGCAGTTGTAGGATGTGGGTAGTGTGATGCTGTTTGAGTGTTGGATAGTAAAGTCTTCTGTTTAATGTATTTTATGATGAAGGAAATGTGTGACTGGTCCAAGTCTTCACATCTGATCCCCAAAGGCTGTTGAACTTGAATCTATGAACAATATGATCTGGGCAGAGTACCTGAACTGATAGACAAATGGAAGACTCAGAGCATGTTCAGTGTGAAGTACTCTGAAACTTGGATGATTGGTCCCACTGGACAACACAGCTGAAAGATGTAACAAATCACATTTAAAGTCTTTGAGTGTCTTTACAAGGGTGGCCAAAACTCTGAAAATTTTACCCATGTCCTGGCCAACAATTTCCCCAAATAAAATTGGTCACTCATTTCATGGCTGTTTGTGGACATTAGTGTGCTGCCTTATTTACCTACAAATACACAGTCTCTCTATTTCCTGTGAAACGCATTCCGACATGATAAGCACTATACCAAATATTATTAGTTAATAATAAGAATTTTTAGCAGGATACAGTAGTCTTGACATCCAGCCTCTTTACATAGGTCCTTCAATGTTGCAATGTTAAGATAAAATTCCTAATAATG